GATGACAACTCCAGGCATGTTATTGCCCCTGAAGACTATCCAGTTGGACAATATATGGAGGTGCAAGACAGCAATGTTGGCAATCCTAGACTCATGCAGGTGTTTGTGTGTTAGTTTTTAACAAAAACGATTAAAAAGTTAAAAAAAAAAAGAAAAAATCTTATAAAATAAAATATTTTTGTATAGCTGTGCAATGTGTGTTTTAAGTTGTGTTAATACGAGAGTAAAAAATTTTAGAAAAATTAAAAGTTTATAAAGTCAAAAAGTTATAGTAAGCTAAGGTTAATATATTATTGGAGAAATGAAAGTAATTTTAAAATAAATTTAGTGTTGGCATAGGTGCACAGTGTTTATAAAGTCTGCAGTAGTGCACAGTGATGTCCTAGGCTTCACATTCACCCACCACTCATTCACTGACTCACCTGGAGCAAATTCCAGTTCTGCAAACTCCACTCATCGTAAGTGCCCTCTTCAGGTGTGCAATTTTTTATCTTTTATGCTCTATTTTTATTGCACCTTTTCTATGTTTAGGTGCACACATACTTACCATTGTGTTACAATTGACTATACTATTTAGTACAGTGACGTGGTACAGGTTTGGAGCCTAGGAGCAATAGGTTATACCATACAGACTAGGTGTGTAGTAGGCTCTCCCATCCACATCTCTGTAAATGCACTCTATGGTGTTCATTCAATGATGAAATCATCTTACAACACATTTCTCAGAATGTATCGACAGCATTAATCAGTGCATGACTGCATTTGATCAGCAATGGATGCAGAACTTAATCTAGACATACTGAAGTGCAACCATTCACTATTGCTAACGGGACAACATTCATCAAAGCTGCAATGGATGAATTAAAGCCAGAAATTGCAAATGCCTGCTGGAAGAACTTATAGAGCGAAGGCACAAATGATTTTAAAGGCTTCTCTGGGATCAGTGGAGAAGTTACGAAAATCATTTGTGCAGCAGGACAAGTTAGTGGAGAAGGGTTGCTGACATGCTTGCTGAAGTGGAAGAAGATATTGAAGACCATCAAGAAGTGTTAGCTGATGAGGAATTGGCTGAATTTTGAGTCATCTGCAGAGAAAGATGAAGAAAAAACTGAAGCAGAACCAGCAATGTGGTCATAATTGAAATTTGCTGAAGTGTTTTAAATTACACAGACATTAAAGGACAAAATTATGGAATATGATCCTAGGATGGAATGCCGTGTTAAAATTGCTTAAAATATTTTCAGCGAAGGATTACAACCTCTGCAGCAACGCTTCGATGAATTGAAAATAAAGAGAACAACTGATTGCAATGTTCTTCCAGCAGGTTATGGCAGAAAAACAAAAAACAACCAAACCCTTCAACTCTCAAGGATCCCCAAACATCAGCATTGTCTGCTCCGGATGCCCAGCAAGCTACATCGTCATGGCTCAATGCCTTGGGATCATCCAAAGCAGGTGATCCTCCTTCTGATGTATCGTCGGAAGGGCAGTAGTAGCCTAACAATATGTCACAATGCCTATGTCATTCATCTCACTTCATGTCATCCCATAGGCACTGTATCATCTCACGTCACCATAAGAAGGGTGAATGCAGTACAGAAAGACTGTACAGAAAGAGAGAGAGAAAGGGAGACCATATTCACACGACTTTTATTACAGCATATTGTCATAATTGTTCTGTTTTATTAGTAGTTATGGTTGTTAATCTCATATTGTGCCCAATTTATAAATTAAAGTTTATCTCAGGTAGGTATGTATAGTAAAAATACATAGTAAAACTGCAATGCCTGCAGTTTCCGGCATTCATCGGGGGTCTTGGAACTATTCCCTGCAGATAAGGGCATACTACTATATACGGTTTCAAAAGACACATTTTCTTCCATAAATTCACAGAAAATCAAGATGTTCATTGTTGAAATGCCTTAAGGGCTCGCAGGACGGCAGTAAAGAACAGCCAGCCAGCTGCGCATTTTGGTGAGCCTTTGGAGGGGCTCTTCTCTTCCTCTAAGCTGTCTGGCCCTTTGTGGGAGTTGGGGCAGGGGGAAGATTCCAAGTGCAGCAAGGACTTCCTGGAGTTTCTAAACACAAAGCTCTGATGTAGGGCTGTCAGGGCACCTGCTGCTCCTGTGGCTCCAGCTGCTCCCACTCCTTCCTGAAAAGATCGCCCAATAGCCCAACTCTCTGTGGCTCAGTGTCCAGCCCAGGGGGCTCGTCTAGGAGCAGAGTCTTAGGCTGTCTGTGAGGGATCCTCACTTGGGTCAAGATGTGCTGATTCTTTCCAAGCAGGACACGCTTTGGTTTTAATCCTTAGTCTCAATGGACCCTTTCAAAAAACATGTATTCATTTTCCTATTTTGGCAAATAGAGTATAGGTAGAATATACTGAATGAAATTTAATCCCTTTAAAAATTCTCTTTGGGTTATCTTATGATTCAATAAGATTCCTGAAATTAAAATCCTACATAAATATGTATTAACTTAATACATATTAAGGTATAACATACTAAAGCACGTGTAATTGAATTAAAGTGTAACACAGTAAATTTAATTATTATAAATGTAATCAAGATATAACATAGTAAAAATATGTCAGTTGTGCCAGTCTTAAGCAATGGATTTTAAACTAAGTCATCATTTGTGCAACCACCACTCAGATCGAGATATAGGACAGCTGAGCATTCCAGAAGTTTTTCTCATGCACCTTTCCAATCTGTCACCCCAGCCCCAAGGTAACCACTCTTCTGACTTCCATTTATGAATAGTAAAAGATATTTAGACTTGAACGTTTTTCTCCAGAAAGTGTCTTGTCCTCTGTAATTGTCTTGTTTTAGAGCCAAAGTCATCTTGTGAGTTTTATGGCTTTTGACATTAAGAGCCATGTTGCTTTTCCACAACTACAGGAATAAGTGCTGCTTTGAGGTTTTGGGATTTGAATGTTCTTTCCAGCTTTTATTTGGCTCTATCTGTGTTACTGTTGATCTGGCCACAGGAGAATGCTGGAATTTGAGGTTTCTTCTGTAGATTCTTCAGCTAGATGATCCAAGTTAAAATAATACAAGTAAGCCCCTCTTTTAACAATAGGTTTTAATATTAAAACATATGTTCTATTTACTTATTCTGTAAAGGATTTAAGATAACTTAAACAGAAAAATAAAATATGTCATAGTGGGAACACAAAATAGATGTAAAAGAAGAAAGAAAACAAAACAAGGCATAGAACAGGTTAAGAGCCTTCCAAATGATAAGCACCATTTTGAATTTCTTCATATTTGGATTTCCAGATAATACTATAACCTTTATTAACTTATTTAATTATAAACTATCAATCATCAAGATAATTGAAGTTTATCTTAAATGGACAAATGGCTTAGAGAAAATGTTCTTATAGAAATAGACTAAGTTTCTCTACAAATATTCTCAGATGGGAAGTGTTCAGAAGGCATTGATCCCACCTTCTGCTGAGTTGTTGGAAAAGACAAATGATAACTACTTTGGGCATAACTATCCCTCATAACAGAAGGCAACAGGCCCCTTTGCTTCGTGTTGGAAAATTCACTCTGTTACAGGTGGAATGTCTCTCCCCTCCAAAACTCATGTTGAAGCTCAGTCTCCAGTGGGGCAGTATTGAGAGGTGGGGCATTTGAGAGGCAATTGGGCCATGAGTGGATTAATCCATTCATGGGTTAATGAATTAATGGGTTAATGGATTAATGAGTTATCATGGGAGGAGAACTAGTGGTTTTATAACGAGAGGAAGAGAGACCTGAGTTAGCACACATTAGCATGCTCAGCCCCCTACCATGTAGTAGCTGGCACCATACGGGGATTCTTCAGAAAGTCCCCATCAGCAAGAAGACTCACCAGATGAGTCCCCTCAATCTGAGAATTCTCAGCTTCCATAACTGTAAGAAATACATTTCTTTTCCTTATACATTCCCCAGTTTCAGGCATTCAGTTATAAGCAACAGAAAATGGACTAAGACAACCTGTTAATCAGAATTCCTCATAAGATGATCTTTGAGATTTTTCATACTTAGAAATGCTGCTCCCACTCTTGTGGGTTGCTGGGAGCAGGGGACAGGTCTGTCATCCTCATCATGTTATCCCTGGCATGTATCATAATGTCTGGTGTGTACCAGGCCTCTGGTGAATACTGCTGGATATTGGGTAGAAGGCAGGTTCCTCATTCCTTGCAACAAGAGGAGCCAGGAGGGATCTGCCCCAGCACATTGCTCTTCTCCCTCACCCCTGAGAGCTCTGTGAGAGACTTCTCATCAACATGAACACATCTGTGCACATTTGTTACAAAGCACATTAACATGCTTCTCATTTTGCTTTTTATCACAAAATGTGGTCCAACAGACAGAGTTCTTATGACATAAATGCTATTGCCCTAACTTTTTTTAGAGAAAGACCTATTGTTCCAAATACTACACAAAATACATATCTAGGAAACCATTGTGAGGTTTTAGTTGCTCTGACAAAGAGCTTCCAAACTTTTTGTGTAGAATATCCTGGAAACCATTGAGCACCCCTAGTTTTCCTCCTAGAAAAAAACCCTACAGTTAAAAAAAACTGTTGCTGATATGCAGACACTGAAAATAGGCACACTTTTGTGTATTGTTGAATGCCCATTCAATCCTGCAGAGGAAACACCTACTTTAAATCCCCTCTCTCCCTCATACATGTTGTTATAAATTATGGTCAAGATAATTTCTCTCCACCCGCCCCCACCAAACAAAAATAGAAAGTCTGCTCATGAAAACCCTGCGCTCGTTGCTAAATCTCTACGTTAAATAAAGGCAGCGCAGAGCGATTTTTACTAGGTGCTCTGATGCATCTTTCAGTTCCTTTGCTCACCCGCTCCTCGCAGCGCTTGTTGTGCAGTGCCACATATGTCCTGTAGATGGCTCTACCTCCCTATTATCGCCATCTCTCCGGAAGCAACTGCCAAGTCTTTCAGCTCCAGTGGTAGTTCTACTGGAGTTTGAGCCAGGGCCTGTGAAATGTAGCTCTAAACCTCACTGGCCTAAGTGTTAGTGGATGCTGTTTATGCAGAAGGGTAAGCCATGGGACATTTAAATAAGGGGAAGCCGGAAAGGTCCACTTGGTGGGATGTCCTGATGGGTGGCATGGTCTAGCCTCAATGGAGATGCACCGAGCTGAAGTAACTCTAGGTAAAGCTGTAGACTCTATGCTCTCTTTGGAGCATCACAAAACATTTAAAAGCTCTGAGGAATTCTGTGGGAAGAAATCTGGTTAACTTTGCTTAACTCGGAATTTTATGAACTCAGGACCTGCTCATACCAAATCAAATGGTATTCTGTGGAATAAAACTCCTGGAGGTGATGTCTACAAGATTTCTGAGGGTGAGGACAAGAAGTTGGGGCTTCTGTCCTTTCCTGGGGTGAAAGAAGGGTGCGGCAGAGGCTTCTCACCTTTGGCAACTCTGCTGAGTGGCCAGGGATCACAAGGGGTGCATGTGTGCGGCTTGCCCAACACAATTTTTGTGGAAATTGCCCAATCCACCCAAAATTTGGGAAAAAGAAAATCCAATTTGTTGGGCGCCTTATCTGTGCCAGACACAGGGCTAGATTCTTTTATATGTCACTAATATATTCTTTATGTCATCTTCTGTATAGATACAGTCTCCACTTCACGAGTGAGAAGACTGAGGAACAAAGTGATAGGGTAAGTTGCTTAAGTTTGCAAGATTTAAACCTGTCAGCCTGTAAGGCTCTTACTTTGTATCTTGCTGTGTTTTCAATACATCCTAGTAGGGAAGAAAAGTGGGAGACCCAGGGAAAATCCCAGCAGCACCGCTTCCTGGCTGTGTAGCCTTGGCCAAGGTGTTGAACATTTTTGAGTTCTGATCACCTCTTCCATAAAATAAGAATTTCTTATGGAGGATTAATTAGAACTAACAGTATGGACTAAATACACCATCAGTGCTCCAAACCATCTGTGTAGTTGGATGAGCCAGTTCTTGGCATCTCCACTAGCCACAGGCAAGTGAGTCCACTCACATTCTCTGCGGGGCTCTGAAGCATTAGGTATGGAAGCCAGTCCTGGGGTGACAGAACTCAGGTGGTCTCTTTTCACAACCCCTGAGGGTGTCAGAGCCTTGGATGCTCTCCAGAAGCAGGTCAGAGAATAAACCCAAAGTAATGTCTCAGTTATCAGAAGTCAGAGCTAAATTTAGGATACAGCTGTGAAAGTGAATGCTCAACAGGCTCTGTGGAGTAGGGCTAGCGATTATCTGGCAAATTTGATTAATGTGGACAGGACATGCAGATAATTTGTTCAGTTCTCAGACAAATAGCCCCTCTTTCTCCTGAATATTTTTCTTCCCCAAACCATCATGAACCTCACCTCTGGGATCCTTCTCATATTCGTTGTCTTCATTTGCATGGGTGTTCTTTTGCGGGAATTATTAAATATTTGCTTTGACTGTGCCTTTCACTGAGAATGAAGCTTATATATTGGTGACCTTGGGGTGCTGTTCAGCCCTTTGAATATTCCATTTGGCCCGCAGAGGTTAAAAAAAGTTGAGTTTTCAGTAGGAAATTTGGAGATTTCACACAAAAATTTAGATTTCTGCTTTCTCTTGAAGACACAGGAGGATGGAATCATGTAAGACCACACACAGGTAGCTGCTACCTCTTCTCAGTGTTCCCTGGTTTCTTCTGTCTCACCATGCCTACCCCCATATTCCTGCACTCACGCCTCCTGGCTTCTCTCATCTGTGTTCTGCTGTGCAGATTGCCACCCCTGACTCCAAATGCATCCACATGAATGAGCCCAGATATGTCCTTCTCCATGATCCTGAAATGAAAACCTACATTGAAATAGATCCTTGGCATTTATCCCTTATTTCCACATGTCAGTGGTTAGTGATTCCCCAGTGAATGGAATCTACAGTTTCTGAGTGACTATCACACTGCTGCTGAGATTTTAGCCTTTGGACTCCATCTTGTACTGACCACCACCCCTTCATGGCCACTCACCTTGGGAAAGAGCTCATCTTGTGTACTGATCTACCCAGCTGGATGCAAGAGGGTAACTGGGCCCTTCCCCTTCTGTAGTCTTCGCTCATATCAACCAGGGTGCACCTTTCCTGACGGGGCTTTATTCCAGAAGCATCTGGATAAGGTAGAAATCAGGTTTCTTAAGGGAAGGAACTGGTTCCTGTGGTCTTCACATCCTTACATCTGCACAGGGATGCATACTGGTGTTCACTGAAAGATGAATTAATTCAACTGGTTTGCTAATTGCAAATGAGAGTAGGGGAAGATTGTCAAATTTAAGACCAACTCTGCAAGTCTATCTGGACTTATGTGGGTAAATTAAAATATAAAATTTGAGTTAGTTTGATATAGAGTAGTGGTTCTCAAAGTGCCATTTACTTTATTGCAAAGATGATAATTATTTGCAGCATCTAATTATAGTTTGAGGAGGCCACGTTGAATTTTGAGATAAAAATAAAGCCGGCTGTAGTTGTCATTGTAGTTCTGGTCACTAGATGTTTCTTCTAGGCCAGTGGTTCTCAAAATATCCTTCCTGGACCAGCATAATTAGCATCACCTGGGAGCTTGTTAGAAGCGCACATTTGGGGGCCCTACCCTAGACTTAACTGAAACAGAAACTCTAGGGATGGGGTCTAGCAATTTGTGTTTTAACAAGCCCTCCATATGATTCTGATTCACACCCAAGTTTGAGAACCTCTTGTATAGAGAGATCCCTAAATGAGAGGCAGCAAACATGGGATTTTGCATTAACTTTGGCATTAGATTTTAGACAATCCGTGCTCTTATCCATTCAGCCAGGCATTTAATACACAGATACATGAAGCACTTACGTGTAACAAGCACTGTGCTTGCTGCTGACGTTATAGAAGTAAACGAGACAGACACTGTCCCGTTCTCACAGAGCATAGTCCGGTGAGGGATAGACATGGACCTCAGTGTTGTCACCTGCACCTGGATCAGTGGTTTTGAAGCTGAGTTCTGCAGAGCCCCAGGCAGTGAGGAAGGGTCTTGAGTTCTGCAGGGTTTGGGGTGGAGAAGGAGGCTAAGGGGTGGGGCTGTGTCCCCACCTTTGGATTAACCAGAGCACCTCTACTTTTCTTTTGTATTTTAGATTCCAACTAAGACTGAATTTGGGGGGAAAAAGGAGTTCTGCTGCTAAAACGCTTTGAATACTACTAGGCAAGACAATCTCTTAAGCACTCTCAGGTCTAAAATGCTAAGAAACAAAATGCGGCACTAGCAGTTTTTTCTTTTAGGTCATGAAAAGTGGAGAGAAACATCTTTGAAAACCCATTCAACATTACACCCATTAGATGGCTATTATTTTAAAAAAATGAAGCAACAGAAAATTACAAGTGTGATGGTTAATTTTCTGTGTCAACTTACCAGGGCCATGAGGTCTCCAGACGCAAACATGATTCTGGGTGTGTCTGAGGTGTTTCTGGATGTGATTAACTTTTGGATCAGTAGAGTGAATAAAGCAGATTGCCCTTCATAATGTGGCTGGATCTCATCCCATGAACTGAAGATCTGAAGAGAATCAAAAGGCTGATAAGTGAGAACTCCTCCTGCTGGATGGCCTGGAGCTGGGGCATTGATCTTTTCTTGCCCTTGGACTTGAATTGAAACATCAACTCTTCCTCTGTCTTAATCTTGCTGGCTTTTGGACTGGAACTTACAAACAAAATGGGGCACTAGCAAATATGTTTTTCTTCTAGGTCCTGAAAAGTGGAGAGGAGCAACTTTAAAAACTATTCAACATCACATCCATTAGATGGCTATTAAAAAAGAAAGCAATAGAAAATTACAAGTGTGATGGTTAATTTTCTGTGTCAACATGCCTTGGCCATGAGGTCCCCAGATGTTTGGGCAAACATTATTCTGGGTGTGTCTGAATAATGACTTCTATTATTATATTTATTATATAATGGCTTTGTTATATGTCCTGCTGGCTTTTGGACTGGAACTTACAAAATATGGCACATTGCCTTTCCTGGGTTTCCAACTTGCTGACTATAAATCTTGGGACTTTTCAGCATCCATAACCATGTAAGCCAATTCCCTATAATAAATCTCTTTCTCTGTATGTATGTATGTATGTAAATATCTACATATGTATGAATACAGAAAGATAATGTGTGTGTGTGTATATATATATTCTCTTTATATGTATATTGTCTCTATACACATGCAGACACACACACACACACACACTTTCTCTATATTAATCAGAGCCCTAATACAGGTGCATTACTGGTGGGAATGTAAAATGGTGTAGCAGCAGCTATGGTTCCTCAAAAAGTTAGAGAATTACCATATGATCTAGCAATTCCACTTCTGGGTATATTTAAATCCATAAAAAATTAAAAGCAGGGACTTGAACAAATATTTGTACATCCACATTATAGCAGCGCTACTCACAGTAGCCAAAAGGTGGGAACAACCCAAATGTCCGTTGATGGATGAGTGGATAAATGAAATATGTCATGTATAATAGAATATTACATAGTCATAAAAAGGAAGGAAATTCTGATGCATACTACAACATGGATGCACCTTGAGGACATTACGCTAAGTGAAATGAGCCAGTCACGAAAGACAAATACTGCCTGATTCCACCCATATTAGGTATCTAAGGTAGTCAAACTCAGAGAAACAGAAGGTAGAATGCAGTTACCAGGGGCTGGAAAAAGGGGAATGGGAAATTATTGTTTAATGGGTACAGTTTCAATTCCGCAAGCTAAAAAAGTTCTAGAGATGGATGGTGGTGATAGTTACACAATATCATGAATGTATTTAATGCCACTGAACTGTACCTTAAAACAGTTAAAATGTTATATATGTTATGTATATTTTACCACAGTAAAATAAAAACTCATCCTGCAATTTGCCTAAAAAAGCCGGTTCCTTCGTTCCTCCCCCTCCCACCCTCTTCCCATTTCACTTTGTCTGCCTCCATCCAAGCTTTTTCTTGGAGATGCTTTTTTTCCCTGTATTTTTAATAATTTACCACTGAGAAAGTCAATACAAATGAAATCACCTCAATCACTAGATGGATGTGACAAAATACTCTAGGCAGTGGCTGAGAATGGCAGATCATGTCAGTCGACCAGAAGAGGCCTATGTCATTGCCTGAGTTCGCGCTGCTGAACTTGATGAGGGGAGGGTGGGTATGATCTGCAAGACAAGATTCCAAGGAAAATCGTTGTAAACATGGCCAGAAGAGCCAGACAATTATAATCTTTTAGGGCCTTAGGTATTTTCTCATACAAACCAGAGAGAACTGCTTCATAGTTTGGTAATCTCAGCTACATGGTGGTATGAACAGTTTAGCCCAGTGGTTCTCAAACTTTAGTACATGTCAAGCTCTTCTGCAAGGTTTTGATAAAATGCAAATTGCTGGGCTGTACCCCTGATTTCTGATTCAGTAGAACCCTTGGATGGGGTCTAATAATGTGTATGATTATTAGGTAACGCTGATGTTGATCTAGGCCCACGCTTTGAGAACCACTGCTTTGGGTGGATTCATTTATAGCTGGCAAGGAAGTTCCATTTATAGGTGAGGAGGAAAAAGCCAAGAAGGAGGATGATGCATGCACAGTGCAACATGGATGGGGAGGGTGTGATCAGCCCAACCTAGATGTCAATGTCATTACTCTCACCACTGCTGTGGTTTAGGGATAAGTCACCTAATTTCCTCATCTTTAAAAATGCAGAATTTCTACATAAAAAATGTAGAAATTTTGTGTGTATGCGAGACTCCTGGCACCATGTTCAGTTAATGGTACTCCATGAATGTTGTCTACCATATTGTTAAGTTACCCTTGGGGGAGCTATGAGGACAACATATGGGGATGAACTGTGGAGGCCCAAGGGCAGGGAGACCTGGAAGAAGAAGGGGAACAGTGGAAGGGGTGGGGAGAGGGGAGAAAAAATCAAATCCACAATTTTTCAAGGGCCTGGCCTTGGTCCAAGCTTCCTAGGTTTTGAAGCCCTAGAAAAGCTGGCAATTGGACTCTTAAAGAGGTCCCTCTGACCACAAATGCATCCCACTAGCTCTAAATCATCTTTAACGTTTCAGCTGGCCAGAGCACACCATGAGTCATTCACGAGAGTGCTGACATCCTAAGACTTTCCTAAAGGCCCTAGAGGTACAACCTCTTAGACAGAAGGCACTCTTGGATTGCAAATGATGGGGGCTGGGTTACTGTGTGTGTCACTCCTTGCCATGCACCCAACCACTGGCTCCTCAATCCCCACCAGTCAGTATCTCTGTCATGGAGAATTAGCACATCTCATGGGTTGGTGTGGATGCATCAAGGGGAACTCCATGGCCCATTCTTAGGTCTGGTTTGCAAAGAAAAGCCAAAAGCCAGCCAACATCACCCGTGTTGATGCAGAATCTGGTGAAATGTATTTTCATCAGGATTATGCAACAGGTTACTGGATGGGATTTGGGGGCCCCCAGGCTGACAGGGCCTTATTCTGTTCTGCTGCCATGGCAGCAAGGGCCATGCTGCTAGATCACGACGATGCTGGTGAGTGACACATCCAGACACACGTCACCAGCAAGTTCCCAAGGAGAAGAAATGTCCACAGATATTGGATTCTTGTCATTGTACCAAAAACTCATTTATTTTGAGCATCTTGTCTAAGAGGAGAAAATGTTGATGGTAACAAGAGCAATAGTTAAACAACTGTGCAGAATGGGAAGCGATGAAGACAAGGTCAACTTCATCAGGGGAAGGAAAACAAACAGCTCTGCTGCTGAGGAAGGCCCCAGCTCAGATGCCTCCCTTCTGTGTTCCACCTGCAGGACGTTACTAGAAGGACCACATGAAAGTGATTTTAAAGTTTGAGAACATTTTCTCTTTAGACCTGTGGTCAGCAAACTTACTGTACAGGTCAGGTCAGGGAAGAGAAACAATTTAGGCCCCATTAAAAAAATAAAAAAATTAAATCAGCAATCACAACATCCACAACTGTGCTTGCATGTTCTTTCACCGTCCTTCTGCCCGAGATGAGGAGAGGAGGCTTTTATTCTTTTCCATCGGGTCGTGGCTGTTTTGTTCCTTCAGTCTATTTTATTCCATGGGCCCAGCATTTGCAGTCCCACAAGCGCCTCCTCAGAGGCAGCCTCTGTTCAGAACCCAGCCCCAGGACAGCTATCCAGCCCTGGCTGGAGGTGGCCCAGAAGAGGAGGCAGGGCTGGCCAGTGTTTGGCCAGGGAGGCCATTCTAGGACACCGCACTAGTGAGTGAATCAATTTCATTGATTTTAGTTTCTTGTTCCTGAAATTTCATCAGGAAACAGATCACAAAGTCAAGTGGACCACGGGTCACTTATCTGTCTACTAGACTGTAAATTCCTTGACAGACTTGCCTTGCAGCCTGGTACATGATGTGACACATGATATGTATGTTTTATGCATATCTGAAAATATACTCTCTGATTGTTGACATGGTTTGTACATATCTAGCTTGTTCACTGGGACGTCCAAATCTTCTGTGTACTTGCTGATTTTTTGTTTATGTGTTCTATATATTTCTTCAATAACTGTGTTAAAATCTTTTGCTCTGATAGTGGATTTTGATATTTTCTTTCTGCAATTCTCTCAATTTTTGCTTTGTATGAGCCAAGACTACATTATTATGATGATACAGTTCAGGATTGTTATATCTTGCTGGCACGACCGTTCTCTTCATCATTATGTAATGGCCACTTATATCCTTAATGATGATTTTTGCCATAAGTTACCATTGACTCCTTCATTGCCCAGTGCACTTACTTTCTCAGATGAATGGAGAAGATGTGTAGGGGTGCATTTAGGCTCAGCAGCACAGGGACCTGCCGATTTATAAAGCTCCACTCTCTCTTGGCCGCTACTACCACATTCTCCTGGTTTTTTTTTTTAAGCTTTTCTATTTTAGAAAAAAAAAAAATGTGAAAGACAGTAACAAAAATAAATGCTATCATTTAAAAGTCAACCTAATTGTTTCTATTTCCTTTGAAAATCATTTATCTCTGAATAAAATACAAGCCCTCTCATTGTTCTTCATCAACTCACTTCTGCTCATCTTTCAATTCTCAGTGTAGACATCACCACCTCCAGGAAGCCATCCATGAATACCTCCCCCCCATCTCCATCACCACATACACACTAATTAGGAGGCCCACTTTTGTGATCTAAGATCTTTCACATTACGAATGCTGTCTATCCACTGCTTTGCAACTGTACCTTCAAGGATGGGACCACATCAGCTTCCCCGTCGCATCGCACTCCTGGTCTGACATGCACCAGGCAGTTCATACGTGTAGTTGAGCTCATCAGAAGAGGTTTTGCCTGGTATTTCTCTTGCCTAACTTTGGGTATTTGTCAGCATTCAGTCAAGTTTTCTCCTGATTGTCCCTCCCTTGTTTCCCTTATACCTCCTTGGCTTCAGCTCACACCTCTAGACCGACAACTTCCTATGTCCTTGAATCCCGTCCTTTATCTGAGCTTGACAGCACATCTCAGGAGATCCAATAGATGATCACACTCGGTAGTCAGCACCCAAACAAATGGTCTCGAACCACGTGCGTCCATCCTCATGCCTCACAAACCTCTTCTTTCTCACAATGTCATTATTTTTTTTCTCCAAAGTCACTACCATTTTGAAGTCATTCAGTCTCATCTTTAAAAATCCCCTCATTTTTATTTATTTAGTTATTTATTTTGAGACAGAGTCTCATTCTGTCGCCCAGGCTGGAGTGCAGTGACACGATCTCGGCTCACTGCAAGATCCGCCTCCCGGGTTCACGCCATTCTCCTGCCTCAGTCTCCCCAGTAGCTGGGACTACAGGCGCCCGCCATCACGCCCAGCTAATTTTTTTATATTTTTAGTGGAGACAGGGTTTCACCGTGTTAGCCAGGATGGTTTCGATCTCCTGACCTCGTGATGTGCCCGCCTCAGCCTCCCAAAGTGCTGGGATTATAGGCCTGAGCTACCGAGCCTGGCCCAGGATCCCCTCATTTTAACCCATTCCCAACCATACAGTAAGCTCTGTTGATTTCTGC